ATGGAAAGCATCTGGAGAAAAAGCATGAGCCAAACTGGCCCTTAAATTACAATAGGAAAATCTAAGATCCCTGCTAATCCATACCAATTTATCCAGTATCCCATTTCCAGCAGGGACCAGTTGTGGTGTTTCTGCAAACAAGAGTAATAGCACCCTCTCTTGTTCTTTGTAATCCCAATAACTGGAATTTGGAGGAATACTGCTTATCAACCTCGAAGTTCCTTTAATCTTGGCAGACACAAATTCTTGATGTCCCTGTATGACCTCTCTAAATCTGTCTAATTGCTTTCACTCCATCAAAGTCAATCTGTTACCACATCTTCTGGTAACAGATTCCATTAACTAATTGGATTTCAATCCATCAAAGTCAGTGATCGTTACCGCATCTTGTAGTAACAGTTTCCATTAATTAATTGGATTTCAATCCATCAAAGTCAACTATCGTTACCATTTACTGTAGTAACAGGTTCCATTAATTAATTGGGCTTTCATCTAAAGAAGTATTTTTGTAATTTTGAATCAATTTATTTCCTGATCCTGGGTGTTAGTGTTATGAGAAAATATGACAAACTAGCAGTCACCTGCCACACGTTGCTGTAGCCCAGTCAGTGTATATGTGTTTTGTGTGTATATATATGTGTGTATATGTGTGTTTGGGCATGCATTGTAATGTATTTTTGTTTGTTGATTTTTAAGTCTCTTCTGCTGTTTTTGTGTTTTTATGAGTGATAACTCGTTGGCCTGATAGGTGTATTGTATCCAAATTTGGTGTCAATTCGTCCAGTAATCGCCCATAGGGCTGAGAGCGGCGGTTAATAAGTGCAAGTAATAATAAATAATAAATAATTTTTGAGTTATGTTAATCCTACAAATGAACATTACATTTTTATTTATATAGATATATTTGTCTACTCCTTCTGCATAAGGCATAATTGTAAAAAGAACTTCTCTATCATATATCCATGTCATATCCCCTTTATATTTTTTTTTCTGTACTTTATTTCTTTTCTCATAGGGACAGCAATCCCATCTTGCCCATCTCTTTCAGATCATTGTTTTATTGGCCCTTCCTTCCCACACATGCTCAAGCTCCACAAAATCCTTTTGTGATGAGTCAACCAGAACTGTGCATCATATTCCAGATTTAGTACCTGCAAAGTATATTTATCAACAAACTTTGTCATACTGAAAAATTTGCCTTCACTCCCTTTCCTAATAATCCCTAATATGGAAAACACTTTCCCAAAACCAAGAACAGCAGCCAGCACTTGCAATTGAGCACCTGCCATAATCGCCCGCTTTTCTGGTCACTTTTCTGGTCACTCAAGGAGCCACAATGGCGCAATGAGTTAAAACACCTGTGCCAGCTGAACTGCTGACCTGAAAGTCAGCAGTTCGAATCCATGAGATAGGATGAGCTCTCCATCTGTCAGCTCCAGCTTCCCATGCAGGGACATGAGAAAAGTCTCCCACAGGATGGTAAAACATCCAGGCATCCCCTGGGCAACGTCCCTGCAGACTGCCAATTCTCTCACACCTGAAGTGACTTGCAATTTCTCAAGTTGCTTCTGACACACAAAAAAACCCATTGTTCAGACCTTGTTGGTGTATAGATAGAAATGTTATTGTGTTATTGTGATTCAGGTGTAAATAATAATCATCATCATCCATCATCATCATCTTTATTTATACCCCGCCACCATCTCCCCAATGGGGACTTGGGGCGGCTAACATGAGGCCGAGCCCAAAAAATAGTATAATGAATTACGATACAAAACAAAAGAAAAATAAACATAACAAAATACATAATGTAACAAAAAATAGACAATGCAAAATAACATAAAATCAATCACAAAAAGGTGAGGAAGGAGGGAGGGCTGCTTTTTTCCTTCTGATTTGGACAGGAAAGGAATAACAGGGTGAGAGTTTCTTGCCTCTGTCACTGCCTTGGCATTGAATTCCTAACAAAGACAGGTTGCTTTTCTTACTGTTCACACATAATTGAATTAGCATTTTAAAGCATATTAATAATTAACTGTTTCTTAGTCCTTTCCCAGGAATTATGTTTGCTTTGATTTGTAATAAGTCTGTCAAGTACTGCTGAACAATCATGGCAGTTAATGGGCGAAGTCTTCTTTCAGATTGGAAACTGATTAGAATAGAAAGCACAATGGAATTGAATTCTTACAAAAGTATCTGTTGGGACTGCTGCTTTCTCACTTGTTCCGGTGGCGCAGTGGGTAAAACCCTTGTGCCAGCAGGACTGAAGATCGACAGGTCAGAGGTTCGGATCTGGGGAGAGCACGGATGAGCTCCCTCTGTCAGCTCCAGCTCCCCATGCGGGGGCATGAGACAAGCTTCCCAAAAGGATGATAAAACATCAAACATCTGGTCATCCCCTGGGCAACGTCCTTGCAGACAGTCAATTCTCTCACACCAGAAGTTACTTGCAGTTTCTCAAGTTGATCCTGACATGGGAAAAAACTTGTTCATAAATCTGACAGCGAATAGTGTCGCAGTCAAATTTGCTGGTAGTCAAGGGGATTAAAATAAAAAGGGATTAGAAAAGTTTCTGAAAGATCACTTTAAACTTGAGAAACAGCTTATGCAAGTGTGAAGTGTCAAAAAATCTCAGTGTCATCTCTATGCTGGTTGGTCTGATGTAATGTTGACTGACCGAAAAAGGATCTTGATATTTGAACAAAATGTGGACTCATCAAGCAGATGCTGGGGGGAAGAAAAGGCAAATTCCATGTCAGACTTAGTTAGAAAAAAATTAAAAATAGATAAAAATTCCAGTACCATAACATACTTATGGTACAACCATACGTAAATATATATAATATAGGTTTTGTCATAGCACTTCAAAAAGGATAATGTAGAGATGGAGAAGTTTCAGAGAGGGCAACAAAAAACATGACGGTTTTGTTGAGGAAAGATTGGGGAGATGTTACTGTACTTGAGACTTTAGCTTTGATAAGGTTAAGCCAGAATTCTGTAACCATGAGTAGTAGGAGATTAAGGACTGATAAAAATGGATATTTCTTCACACAAGATCAAATGAACACATCTGTGGGCCATACACAAAAACAACCTTGACAAAACAATTGCTGCTATAGCAACTTCTGACTGTTTTATTATAGTGTATTTTCAATGTACATTTGAAGGAATATGTAACATACTAGCTGTCCCCTGCCATGCATTGCAGTGGCCCAGTTTGTGTTTTGTGTGTGTATAGGTGTGTATATATTTGTGTATATGTGTATATACACATATACACACATAAAACATATATACACATTTTATGTACATGCGGCCCGCTCTCTGTCATGTTTGGTTCCTATGTTCTGTGTATATTGTTTTATATGTTTTGATGTTTTACATTTTAATGTTATGTTGTTTATTTTACTGCAATTTGTATTGTTATATTGTAGTTTGTTGTTCGGGCTTGACCCCATGTAAGCCGCTCCGAGTCCCCGTTGGGGAGATGGTGGCAGGGTATAAATAAAGTTTATTACTATTATATTATTATTATATACACATATGGAGATGAGCACCAACCCCCAGAGTCAGACACGACTGGACTTAATGTCAGAGGAAAACCTTTACCTTTACCTATGTGTATATTTGTGTGTTTGCGTATGTATATGTGGTTTTGCACATGCGCTGCAATGTAATTTTTGGTTTTTTTGCTTTTAAAATCTCCTCTGCTGTGTTTTTCAGGTTTTTTATGAGTGATGGTAACTCGTTGGCCTGATAGGTGTATTATGTCCAAATTTGGTGTCAATTTTCCCATGGTTTTTGAGTTAGGTTAACCCCACAAAGAAACACTACATTTTTAGTGGGTTGTTGTAGGTTTTTTCAGGCTATATGGCCATGGTCTAGAGGCATTCTCTCCTGAAGTTTTGCCTGCATCTATGGCAAGCATCCCCAGAGGTAGTGAGGTCTGTTGGAACTAGGAAAAAGGGTTTCCTAGTTCCTGTGGAATGACCAGGGTGAGACAAAGGACTCTTGTCTGCTGGAGCTAGGTGTGAATGTTTCAACTGACCACCTTGATTCCACAGATATATAAACCCTTTTTCCTAGTTCCAACAGACCTCACTACCTCTGAGGATGCTTGCCATAGATGCAGGCGAAACGTCAGGAGAGAATGCCTCTAGACCATGGCCATATAGCCCGAAAAAACCTACAACAACCCAGTGATTCCGGCCATGAAAGCCTTCGACAATACATACTACATTTTTATTTATATAGATTGGAAGGAACTGAAAAGTGCAGCAGACACCACAATTTCATAATTCATTTTATAAACTCCATAATACCGTAATTCATTTTATAAACTCCATAATTCATTTTATAAACTCTCCTACTTAAATTAGAATTCAAAAGTAATACTATAAGCAGAGTAAATCTGTAGAACAGCTAGGAAATCAAATGGGGATTATCTGAGTGCACAGATAAAAATTAGGGCCAGAGGTCATTGTCAAGAGAAAGACGAAGTAGGGGGGAGTCTATGGGAGGTGACAACAACCTGTTGGAGGACAGAAATAGATGTGCCAGATGGTCTGTCCTTCATCTGGCACATCTATCCTGCTGCCTTCGGGTCAAGTCCCATTGCTAGTGTTAACGAAAGACTGAACTGCTAATCAGCGCAAGTGAGCTTATTCTTTTCATTAAGGAGCAAAATATAATAAGCCAGACCGATCTCCCAGATCCTGCAGTCTATGGCCTCATCTACACTGTCATATAATGCAGTTTGAAACTGAATTATATGGCAGTGTAGATGGAGCCAAAATATGGCAACCGACAGTGTTGTTCTTGGTGAATTTCAGTGTTACCCTGAGTTAGAGGTGATCTATGGAAATGAATGGGACTTCTTTTCCACTATTTCATTTAGTCGTATTGTTATTGGATTTCACCTGTTCTGGATCATCTGCCAAGGTAAACAATGCCTGAAACTTGCTCCAATCATGCAGGTGTTTTCTTTTCTTTTTTTGCAGTCGACCAAAGCATGTTTGAGAATGCCAACACGAGCCCTGTGCTAAAGCCGCCAGTCATTAAACCTGCATCCCTACATTCCCAGTCTTTCCCAGGAAGCCAGCCCCTCAAGAATTTTGGAAAGACTGTGGGTGCAAAAGTCAATGACTTCCTGCACAGGAAAGAACCTGCCAACCATACCAACATGGGGGTAACAGAGGTCAACGAGAGTGCAGGGGCAGCACTCTCCTGTGCGCATGATATGCTACAGGAAGGCCAAGGCAATTCAGAGGGGTAAGTGGCATCATGAGCCTTCTTGGCAACAACTCTTTGTGGGTTTCCCAACTCATATATGCCACAGCAAGAACATGGTTGGCCTCCTCCTCTTCCTCTTGTCTCTTGTTTTGCCGACTTTCTTCTATGTCTTCTGTTACGGCAGGATAATAGAAAAGGCTGCTTAGGTCAGGAGACCCAGCCAGCACACCAGAACATATCACACCTCAACAGATTAATAAGGAAAAGGGTTTTTTCCTGATTTAGCAAGTCATTATTTATTTATATTCCGCCTTCTCACCCCGAAGGGGACTCATGGCGGATCACACTACACATACACGGCAAACATTCAATGCTGCTTTGTATAGACAATCCATAGACAGACAACAGAAGGAAGTGGTTTGTTTCAAAACAGTAGCCAGCTGTGCTATGGAAGGTTTGGCTTGAGTCCAGGAGGTGCTGTCGCTCTATCCTCTATGACGAAGAGCTGTCAGGACTTCCTCTTTCCTTTTGGTTGCCCTGCATTTTCTGATCTTTTTCTTTATGGTGTCATAAAACACCTTCACCACTTTTAGTGGTACCTAATTTCTCTAATCACAGCTAAAGCTGTTTTTGAATTGCTTAGGTAAACAATAAGCTAGGCAGACAGTTGACAGCTCATGCCAACTCAGGGCTTCGAACTTGCAACCTTTTGGTTGATAGATCTTATAATTGCTGATGATTTACCAGCTGTGCTAAACCTCCAGCAATGGAGTAAAAAAGGATCATAGCCACCTCTGTGTTATGCAATCCTAGAAGAAATGGTTGCTGCAATTCACTTTTTTTCCAGACGACTTTATATTTGAGCTGCATTTGAAGTGGCAGGCATTTCTTATCAGGCAAAAGCAGATTTTTGCACTCTCTAAGATGCTGATAATACCAAGAGCTAGAAATCTGTGTTGGTTCCTAGTCATCCTTGGTGAAGGATCTGGCAACACACAGTTTTGAGAGAGTCTTTTCTTTAACTATATTTATTGTGATTGTAGGCAGACACTAAATGACTCCATTCCCCGGCTGAACTCACCTCCACCGATTACCAAAAAGCGCATCCCAAGAGTGCTGAAGACCACTCAAGATATGCTGATTGCTTCTCAACCGTTGGTAGGTAGCATGGAAGACTCCTTTTCTGAAGAAAATCAGGAATCTTCATACCAACCTAACAGGACAAAGGGGGACCGGAGAGAAACTAGTTCATTGACACTAGAGGATATTAGTACTGGTCCTTGTAAGGCATTTGGTGTGCTTGATCTCACTCAGAAGGAAAATCTGGAGCCCAAAGTGAGCACCGCTTACAAAATGTCCTCTTCTGCTTTCCAAAATGATGTGGACTCAACTCATGGACTCAACTCAAGTGATGACAAGAACATTTCTGAATGCCAGTTGCAAATGGGCATGAAGTCCTCAAAGCCAGAGTCTTCTGCTCTAGAAAGTGAAGATGACAGGCTAGATTTGATGTCTTTTGAGTAGAATTGCCTTTTTTCATTCGCTACTGTAAGTGTGCTTTAGTTGTATAGTTCTATAGGTCTGTTACTGTATTTGTTCTTTTACAAGATATACTGAGCCAGATAACAGAACGGAAACCATATTCTCTGAAGGTAACATGCTGTTCTGCAAACATAGGGTAGGAAGCATCTTGGGAGAAAATCAAGCACTTTTTCTAGCAGCTGGACATCCTTACGTGCATCAGGGAAGGCCAGTTGATGTGGGATGGCCTGCTTTTGTAAGTATGGCATCAGGCCGTGGATACAGACTGTATGGGAATCAGTCTCAGCAAAGATACGGTTCACAATTGTGCATGTTTGCCAACATACACATGCACAGTATCTATCCCGTGTGAACAGCAGGCACATGCTCCTATGTTTTTGGAACATTTCACATCAGCCCTTCCATTCTCAGTTCTGATCACAACACTTTGTTTAATGATTGACGACCCAGAGTGCCCTCACCCTCAAAGAGTGAGACCCCAATTATGAGATCAGTAATCTGTTCCCTTCAGTGTTGCCTTGACTAACGATAATTCTGTTTTGCTGCAACTTTGTGGAAGATCCGACATGATAGCACTTTAATTCCTCTTTATGAACAAATGTCTTGGTTTGAGAAGCAAAAGGCCACCCCTGCTTACCCTCCCAAAGGCACTTGTGAAACCATATTTGGCCTATTGTTCATTTGTACCTGGAGATACAGAACCTGTCTTCCATATCCAAAGACCAGCTTCCAGATAATCCTCCATGCAGAACTTACTCTCATTAAGTATAGCAATAAATACTAAAATGAAGCGAAATCTAGACTGAGTAGCGTCCTGCTCCAATGCGATGCTAATGGCTTCCAGGAAATGGAGTCTTTCTAGCACTTGCTCCCTTACCAATCCAACTTATAACTTTTCTAGACGTTGTTGGTATTGGTCTTAAAAACTTTCATTTGCTAACCAGACTCAGCACTAGATATTTTGATCCTAGAGCACTTCATGTGAGCAGGGCATGTTGCCATTAACCTGTTCCCTGTAATCTCTTCACTGATTGGGTACGTGGTGGCTGATATTTTCTCACATTTCTTCTAAAGCAAGACTGGAAGATATTCAAAATACCTTTCTCTTTGACTTGTGCATGAGCACATTTAGGATGATTGCATACATATTAAATAATAATGTCTGGAAATGCCAGTTTTATAGGAGCACCTCCTTGCATAGGAGCACTTCAATTTTTAGTACGCTCCAGCAATACAGTCATGGCAGGTGCTCCAGTTATTTCCAAATAGTGACCTCAGCTGAGAATCTGCTTAAAAACACATTTCTTCTAAAGGAAATTTTAGTTATTTTATATTCAGAAATACTGGGAAAAATAGAAAGAACCTAAACAATACAAAGAAAAGAGATCTTCATAATATACAACACTAAAACTACTACATCTAATTCAACTACATCTAAAACAATCACCTGAACTACTAAAACTATTCCACAAACTGCACACTCATTGTTGATTTTTACTCGTTATCTGACTCCCTTTAGCTAATACTGTTTTTCTAGATGTCTATTTTTTAAATTCATAAATATGTATTAAATACAGAGATTTTAAACGGATGGAGCGTGTTTGAGTCCAGACCTCAGTAGTTTGCAAATTGATTTCCAGATAACTCTGGATTTTGTGGAAGCATTCTGACTGTTCTTTAGTAAGGAGAGGTAGGCTGAGTTCCACTCAAGCTTCCCTGAAAGGCTACTTGGTCGCCACTGCCACTGATACTTCTCTGCATTGTATAGCTACTGAAGGAAATGTTGGGTCACACTTTTAGTTCATTGGGGTGGGAACTGAATATTAGCAGCATCCCTATATGAACTGATGGTGTGATACGTGATTCTGGACAGTTTGTAAGGAGTAGGAGCACAATGGCTGCTTTGGGAAGTGAGGAAAGTGTGGAGGATGAGAATTTGAAAACCACCCTGGCATTCCACTGCATTCTAGTATTGTGAAAGCCTAAATAAAATTGCACATTATTGATCAGCAATTGAAATAAACTATAATTTAATTCCAGATATTCATATCAAATAATTGAAGTATATTTCTCAGCAAAAAATTGTAAAAAGTAATTGAGAATTAATTATTGGAAGTAAATCTATTTAGCTGTACTCTTAGTAGCTTTATATTAAGCACAAATTCAGTAGAAGATTAACCTTTTCCGATGATTATTGCTTCTATCCTAGGGACATGCTGGCCATTCATATTACCACCATTCCATTTTAAGATGCATTAGGGCAGGGGTCCTCAAACTAAGGCTCGGGGGCCAAATACGACCTTCCAAGGTCATTTACCCGTCCCTCACTCAGGGTCAAACTAAGTCTGAAATGACTTGAAAGCACACAACAACAACATCAACAATCCTATCTCATTAGCCAAAAGCAGGTCCACACTTCTAATTGAAATACTAATAATTTTATATTTGTTAAAATTATTCTTCATTTTAATTATTGTATTTTTTAAAGTGTTTTTGCACTACAAATAAGATATGTGCAGTGTGCATAGGAATTCACTCATGTTTTTTTCAAATTATAATCCGGCCCTCCCAACAGTCTGAGGGACTGTGACCTGGCCCTGTTTAAAAAGTTTGAGGACTCCTGCATTAGCGCAATGGTGTCAAACTTATTGCCCTCCAGGTGTTCAGCTTGGACTTCAGCTCTCAGAATTCCTGGCCATTGGATAAGCTGGTAAGGGCTTCTGAGAGTTGGAGGCCCAAATATCTGGAGGGTCACAAGTTAGACATCTCTACATTAGAGCCTATCTCAAGAAGGAAAATGAGAGCTCATTCTTCAGTGTATTTAAACTTAAGGAATCTCACTGGAATCAACCCCTTATGTAAGAACACAATACAGGACTGGGCTAGTCATCCAGCTCCTCCATGCAGGACTGTAATTCTTAATACAATGTCTACTTTGGTTGAAGTATACATTTTGGTTCTTGAGCAATTAGAGACAGTTATAGAGTCAGGTTTTTCATTTCATTAGTATGACACTTTTCTTCCAATTGACACCTTAGGCTGTTCCCAATCAATGTAAAAATCTTTAACAATAGTGTTACAATTAATATCCCCATATCGAACAGTATAAAAGCATTTAAAAGACATACAAATGTGTGTGAATGCATGTGTATGTATATATACACAATCCAATAAACTTCCCTCCTTACACATTAAAAGCCTGCTTACGCAAGTAAGCTATTTGCCTGTTTGCAAAGGAAAGCAGGGTGGGAGCCGGGCATTTGGATGGATGGGAGAAGCCACAGAGAAAGTTCTTTCTCATGTCTTCTCCAAGCAAGCCTGTAATGGTGATGGGAATAAGTGAAAGGCTTCTCCTGTGGATCATAAAACTGACAGGGGAAATGTGGACTTTCCGATAACCTGGATCTTGGTGCGAAGGGCCAGTAGTTTGACTTGTATCCGGAAATGAATGGATAGCCCGTGAAACTGTTTCAGCAAGGCAATGGCCAGATGTGTCATACATAACAATATCAAAGGCCCAAAGAATTGCAGGATTTAAACATTGGGTCTCGACAGACATATATTGTATGCATCCCTTGTGTTTACTATATTCATTGAAATTAAGGCCTTCAGTGGCTACTAGTCACGATAACTCTCTATTCCCTGTAGTACTTCTGGCAGTCTCACTGGCGATATCAGTTACCGGAGAGCACAAGACAAGAAGATGCTATATTTTCTATGGGTTTTACATAAGGACAAACAGCTGACTATTTTGAGAACAGACTAGATTTTGGTATTATTCAGAATGCTTCCTCTTACCTTTTTTTACAGTCTGTTCTACAAAAAATTAAGACAAGTTCCATACCATTTTTTAAATTTAGAAATTGCAACAAAACTAGTGCCTCAAATATTTCCTTCAAAATAAATAAACGAACATGCAAACAAACTGGGCTTTTTGTCTTTCTGGTCCCTGTGAATCACATAAACAGATTAATCTCTGTGGGCGCAGAGCATCCCCTGAATCTCCCAGAATTCTATAAATATATTTTGAGTTCAACTTCCTGATCTCAACTTCCTCCGGCTTACAAGTTGGAGTATATGAGATTGATACCCCTCTTGATCTCAATGAGACAGATTGTCATGGCAGCTCACAAAACATCGACCTCAGTTATCAAACACCCTCTTAATCAGCTTATATGTGGAATGTGTTGGGAGTTTCTTGTCTCTCTCTTGGATGGGTAGTTTGTTAGCTAAGTGCTAACAAACTAGTTTGTACTTAGATGCCATCTCTTGTTCAGATTACCTAATAAAAATAGTTACATTGTCAAAGTTGTTGACTTCAATGTGAAATTACACACCAAGTCTATTGATTATTTAGAGGAGAAAAAATAGCCTAGTCTGTTTAAGAAAAAGTAAGAGCTGTGTATCATCTTAAAAATTAAGTTATTTGGCAGATTTTGTAGAGTGCTACCTATTTTATCAGATGCAACAGACATTAAGCAAAGCAACAATATGTTGTGGAAGTAACTCTTATTGTGATCTGAGGAAATAATTGAGAATTGTATCCTTTTTTCAACAAACTCAGATCAGATATATCTGATGAAGTGATGTTACACTTTACAAATGCTTATGTCAAATATAACTCCTTAGTTTTTAAGGTGTCCCAAGACCTTTACTATAATGCAGAAGAATTTATTTGACTGGATGTTAGGAACAGTTAATATATTAATGCCAGTGTCCTGCCTCCACCAGCTAAGTTGGGATATATTTCTGAATTTCTGAAGTTACTGCTTTGATGTACGGTATTCAGTATTTTAAAAAAATACTAAGACATAGGAATCAATGAGAACAAGCAACCATTAGTCATTAGGCAACTTGACGGCACACATATACGTAGGTTAAATAAGAGTTGTTTTACTTGCCTATAAAAGACTTCAGTACATGTCATTTCCACTTTGGGATGGGAAAACTCTTGAATTGAAACCCCAATGTTGCCTTGTACACTTCATTTCCCTCATTATAAACTACTATTTCAGTCTTCTGAAAACAATCTAAAATTCTGCACCAGAAAAATGTAAGTCAGCCATAAGGAGTTCTGCAAATATTTGCAACCATTCAAATGGTACTATTTATCCATATTTGTTTGTTAAAATGTGTTTATTTGGCTGTTAGCATTATTATAATGGCACAGAAGCCTTGCCTACTTTTTATTGCTGATAGCATTCATGCACTGCATAATTATCTAATTTCTAAATACAGCATACTCACTAGTGCCACTATAAGGGAATTCATATCTATCTTAATATGGAAGTGGGGGGGGGGGGAGGGCTACCTGCTTCTATGTGAAGGAATAAAGGCAGACTGGGCTTCAGCAAATGGTCTAGAAATGGTTTCTCCTCACCTTCTCCTTAGATGGCCTAGAAATAATAATAATAATAATAATAATAATAATAATAATAATAATAATAATCTTTATTTATAACTCGCCACCATCTCCCCAAAGGGGACTCGGGGTGGCTAACATGAGGCCAAGCCCAAAATAATACTACATAATTAGACACAAAACAGCAAAAATACATTGTAACAAAATATATAAAATAACAAAATAAACAGTATAAAATAGCTAGCTTCTGTGACTAGCTTCCTCCATCAATACAAATCTCCCTTTCCCTTGGTGACTTGTCAGGCCAGGTGTCACCTATACTGTATCTTTCCATTTCATTTTTTCTGCTTAAATGCTTCATCACACTAGAGAGAGAAAAAATCACTTAAATCTGGTTTCTGCCTCCTGCAAAATTCTGGGGTTTGTTGTTTAGGTAGGAGCCTTAGGTAAAGGTAAAAGTTTTCCCCTGACATTAAGTCCAACCGTGTCCGACTCTGGGGTGTGGTGCTCATCTCCCATTTCTAAGCCGAAGAGCAGGCATTGTCCGTAGACACCTCCTAGGTCATGTGCCTGGCATGACTGCAAGGAGTGCTGTTACCTTCCCGCCGGAGCGGTACCTGGTGATAGTATGATAGCTGGGTCCGGAAGTGCCGAGTGTTACGCACATTCCGCAATGGTGGCTGTGAATAAGGGAAGGGGAGAGCGGCACACTGAGGGTGGGAAGATACTTCAATTTGGTGGAAGGATAGAAAGAAGAGGAGGGTTGAGATTACGTTTAGGGTAAGGTTTAGGGTTTGGGGTAGGGTAAGGGTTAGGATTAGCCTTAGGGCTTAGGGTTTGGGTTAGGATTAGGGTTTGAGTTATGATTAGGGTTAAGGGTTAGAGTTAGGGTAAGCCTTAGGGTTCGGGTAAGGGTTATACCATTAACGTGGCTGCCACGTTGTCCAGATGCCCGACCACCGTCTCCCAAAGCTCCGAACTCAAGAACTGAAGACATAATGTTGGAGGGCAGGAAAAGAGATTTAAAGATGGGCTCAAAGCCAACCTTAAAAACTTTGGCATAGACACTGAGAACTGGAAAGCTCTGGCCCTTGAGCGCTCCAGCTGGAGGTCAGCTGTGACCAGCAGTGCTGTAGAATTTGAAGAGGCACAAATGGAGGGCGAAAGAAAGAAACGTGCCAAGAGGAAGGCATGTCAAGCCAATCCCAACCGGGACCGCCTTCAACCTGAAAACCTATGCACTCAGTGGGAGAAAATGCAGGTCAAGAATAGGGCTCCACAGTCACCTACAGATCCACAAGAATACTGATCCTGGAAGACTATCCTACTCATCCAACGAGGGATCGCCTAAGTAAGTAAAGTAAGTATACCATTACAAAATTCTTACATTCCTTCTATATCTGTGTTCTGTTCTGCGTTGTGCAAACAGTGCTCCCAAAGGAGCGAAGCGGAAACAGCATAATGCTCAGAGCTCCAGCTTTCATACTATTACCCGGTACCTATTGATCTACTCACACTTGCATGTTTTCAAACTGCTAGGTTGGCAGAAGCTGAGGCTAACAGCGGGTGCTCATGCCTCTCCGTGGATTTAAACCTACGACCTTTCAGCAGCTCAGTGCTTTAACCCACTGCGCCACCGGGGGCTCCTTAACAGCCTTACGAAACTACAAACCCCAGAATTCTGTAGGAGGCAGAAACTGGATTTTAAGTGGCTTTCCCCCCCTCTAGTGCAGTGGTTCTCATCTTGTGAGTCTCCAGGTGTTTTGGCCTACAATTCCCAGAAATCCCAGCCGATTTACCAGCTATTAGGATTTCTGGGAGTTGAAGGCCAAAACACCTGGGGACCCATAGGTTGTAAACTCTAGTGTGCTTAAGTCAGTGGTTTTCAACCTGGGATCCCCAAATGTTGTTGGCCTACAACTCCCAGAAATCCCAGTCAGTTCACCAGCTGTTAGGATTTCTGGGAGTTGAAGGCCAAAACACCTGGAGACCCCAGGTTGAGAACCACTGGCTTAAGCAGAAAAAATGAAATGCAAAGATACACAGTATGGGTGACGCTTGGCCCGACAAGAGTCCACAATTCCTAACAGGTGGGATGTGAAGAATTGTGGGAGTTGAAGTCCAAAACACCCGAAGAGCTGAAGTTTGCCCATGCCTGGCATTAGACCGTGTATGCGAGGGAAGGCTTCTCCCCCTCCCCTCCCCTCCCCTCCCCTCCCTCCCTCCTGAGGCAGGGCTCGCGCAGAAGTGACGCCTCGCGCCTGCCCTGCCCTGCCCTTTCCCGCCTCCCGCATCATGGCGGCGGCGGTGGTGGAGGCGCTGGGCCGGCTGTGGCGGGTGGAGGCCCCGCTGGGCCGCGGCTCCTCGGCCACCGTCTTCCAGGCTCGCTGCCTCAGCCACCCCGGCGCTCCTCCGGCCGCCGTCAAGGCCTTCCTCCCGCCGGGCGCTGGGCTGCCGGCTTCCGAGGCCTACAGTTTCCGCAAGGAGCGCGCCGCCCTGGAGGAGCTGAGGGGCCACCGCAACATCGGTGAGCATGCGCAGTGGGGAGCGCCTGTGGGAACGGGGGGGGGAGGAGGCTGCGCATGCGTACTTAAGAGGTGCGTCTGAAGTGGACTACTGCTGGGTCCCAGGGTCTGCTTCTGGGTCGCTCTCAGCCAGCATTGGGACAGGCCTGAACACCCTCCAGGCCCAAAGCTCTCACCATCCAGGAAGCTAAGCAGGGGCAACCATGTTTAGTGCTTGGATGGAACACATGTGTTCCATCCAAGCACTAAACATGGTTGCCCCTGCTTAGCTTCCTGGATGATTCGAGTATTTTTTGCCTAAGAAAACCCTATGTAATTCGTGGGGTCAGTTTGAGGCCCCATATACAAACATAGCCATGTTTCTATTGCCTGGGCTAAGAGAGTGGGGCCCAGGAAGACAGTTCCATCTTGTCTGCTGTGTTATGCTTATAATATAATATATTGTATTGTATCTATATAAATAAAAATGTAATGTTCGTTTGTGGGATTAACAGAACTCAAAAACCACTGGATGAATTGACACCACATTTGGACACAAGACACCTAACAACCCAATGTATGTCCTTCACTCAAAAAAATGATTTTGTCATTTGGGAGTTGTAGTTGCTGGGATTTATAGTTCACCTACAATCAAAGAGCATTCTGAACCCCACCAACGATGGAATTGAACCAAACTTGGCACACAGTTCTCCCATGACCAACAGAAAATACTGGAAGGGTTTGGTGGGCAGTGTCCTTTGTTTTGGAGTTGTAGTTCACCTACATCCAGAGAGCACTGTGGACTCAAACAATGATGGATCTGGACCAAACTCTACACGAATACTCAATATGCCCAGATGTGAACACTGGTGGAGTTTGGGGGAAATAGACCTTGACATTTGTGAGTTGTAGTTGCTGGGATTTGTAGTTCACCTACAATCACAGAGCATTCTGAACCCCACCAACGATAGAATTGGGCCAAACCTCCCATATAGAACCCCCATGACCACCAGAGTGGGCCACAGCAACACGTGGCAGGGGATGGCTAGCAATATAATATATAGTATATACATATTATTATAATATTATAATGTAATCTTCTATATAAATAAAAATGTAATTTTCGTTTGTGGGATTAGCATAACTCAAAAACCACTCAACAAATTGACACCAAATTTGGACACAATACACCTATCAGGCCAACGAGTGACCCTCACTTATAAAAACACAGAAAAATACAGCAGAAGAGACTTAAAAAGAAGAGACTTATAAACCCCAACTGCCTCGCTTCCAACAGACCTCACAAACTCTGAGGATGCCTGCCATAGATGCAGGCAAAATGTCAGGAGAGAATGCTTCTGGAACATGGTCATACAATCCAAAACTGAAAACCGATATCTTCCAAATAGGTGTTTTTCTTTTGAGAATTTTCAAAGCAAGAAGCTTCTGAAGATTGATGGTTCTACACTGTACAACTCTTGCCAATATATGTTTGATCTCTTCTGCTTATAGTGACCCTCTATGGTGTGTTCTCCAACTGCTCCTCTCTCAGAGGTCCCTCATACTGCCTTTTATTGGAGTTGCTGGATGTCAGTGTGTCAGAACTGCTTGTGTATTCCAGTCAGCAAGGCTGCTCCATGTGGGTCACCCAGCACTGTGCCAAAGACATTCTGGAAGCCTTGGACTTCCTTCACCACAAAGGCTATGTGCATGCAGACCTGAAGCCACGCAACATCCTCTGGAGTGCAAAGGAGGAATGTTTCAAGCTCATTGACTTTGGACTCAGCTTCAAGGAAGGGAATCAGGTTGGTCACACCATACTAATTCAGTTAGGCAATATTTCCTGAGCTTTCTTTCTTCAGTGGCAAGGAATTAGACAGAGGGGCAAGAATATTGGAGAAAATAGGTATGAGTGTTTTTCACCTGATACTTAAGTATACCTACAACCTCATGCTTTCCCGCTTGCTGGGTTATTTCTTTTGCAATCAGCTTAAATGGGATCACTGTTTGTGGTATGTGTGTAGCAAACACAGAGAAAATATTTGCTACTTCTGTAAGATGCTCTTGTTTGTTTGCTTCTCTTTTCTCCTCCTGCATGTTTGTCAAAGTAGAAGACTGGCAAAGAAAAGTATCAGTCCTGACACTGTCAGGGTCTGTGCAGCCTAACTATTTTTCCATATCACTCAGAGCGAAAAGTTAATTTGATTTCCATTAATTAATATTGAAATATTCCTGTAGTGAGTAGACCATCCATTTCCCTTCCACTTAAAATAATATAACATGAAATGGCAATACGAAATTCTTGTGTAGCTGCTCGGATTTTATTTTTAAAAAAGGAAGCCTCCAGTGGCACAGAGCTGAAATAGCAGACTGAAAGGTTGGCAGTTCAAATCCAGGAAGCAGGTTGAGCTCCCCCTGTTAACCCCAGCTTCTGTCAACCTAGAAGAAGAAGAACTTTATTTTTCTCCCCCGCCTCCATCTCCCCGAAGGGACTCAGGGTGGCTTACATGGGGCCAAGCCCAGGGAACATACAATTAAAAGCAGAGCAATAACAAAATGCTATTTAAAAAGCATAAAACAACATAACAGTAATAGACAGGCATCAAGCAACAAAAGACCTAATTTGAAAAAAGGGGAGGGGGAGGCCAAAATACAGGCTGATTAAAGAGTAATTGATTCAACAAGGTGGATGACAATGTATAATAGCATAGGAAATATCATTAAAACAGAGCAATCTAACAAGATCAGAAATAATTCAGTTTGACTTACAAAATCTGAATAGTAATGTAATATAGGAAATTCAGGTTGAATTATAATTAGGTTGCGATACCTAGCAGTTTGTAAACATGCAAATGTGAGTAGATCAGTAGGTACTGCCTTGGCGGGAAGGCAATGGTGCTCCATACAGTCATGCCAGCCACATGACCTTGGAGGTGTCTACGGGCAATGCAGGCTCTTTGGCTTAGAAATGAAGATAAGCACCAACCCCGAGTTGGACACGACTGGACTTAATGTCAGGGGAAAACCTTTACCTTTACCTAAGGCTGTTGAAGGCTCCTCCCTAAACAGCAAGCCCCAGAATTTTGCAGGAAGCAGAAACCGGATTTTAAGTGAATTTGTAATGTAATACACTATTGAGATTAATTAGAGGCATGCATTTCATAGCACCATGTGAAGCAGTTTAAGTAGACAATGTGAAGCGGTGAAGTAGTATAAAGAAAAGGCAATGTGAGGTTAGAACTATATGATATTTGATTAAAAAAATTCACACTTAAAAATGCTTTCGCTTCTCCATAGGATGTCAAATATATTCAGACAGATGGGTATCGGGCTCCTGAAGCTGAGTTGCAGAACTACCTGTCCAAGACAGGTATACAAGGGGGAATTGAATGTACGTCTGCTGTAGATCTCTGGAGTCTTGGCGTAGTATTACTGGAGATGTTCTCAGGAATGAAACTGAAACAGATTGTCCAATGCCCAGAATGGAGGGTGAGTCTCTTTACAGCAATTTTCCAAAAAGATCCATTACTATTGGAAGATTTAATCCCTGAATGCCTTGCATTTTGACTGCAGTAGTTCTTCTGTTCAAATATTTGCCTCCAACACACAACATAGTCTGCAACAGGCCCTCGCTCAGCGTCAACCTAAATCTGAAACAACTTGAAAGCACGCAACAACAACAATCCTATCTCAACAGCCAAAAGCAGGCCCACACTTCTCATTGAAATACTAATAAATTTATATTTGTTAAAATTGTTCATTTTAAATATTCTATTGTTTTAAAGTGTTTTTGCACTACAAATAAGATGTGCACATGAATTCATGGGTTTGTTTGTTTTTTCAAATTATAATCCAGCCCTCCAACAGTTTGAAGGATTGTGGCCTGGCCCTCTGTTTAAAAAGTTTGAAGACCCCTGCATTAAAACGCAAAAAGCTGCTAGCATGGAGGAGGCCTGTTAACTTGCAGGATCCTGAAGTAACACATAGAATCAAACCTACTTGCTCTTTCCGCTCAGAAAAACTCAAGAGTGTATTGAAAATGTACTTAACATATTTCGTTGCCACTGCTAATGTGAAATGGTACTGTTGAGCAACTTTTAATATTATCCCAACATGGAGATGTGAACCTGGCAGTAAAATCTAACTGTAGCATATAGTATGATCAACCAAGAAAATCAGATGCTAGGAGTAAAAATGTGTTTTTCCTGTCAATATTCTTTCCTTCCTTTTTTATTTCTTCATCCCCTTTCTAGGCAAATAATTCTGCCATTATTGATCATATTTTTGCCAGCAAAAGAAGAGTAAATTCTGCCATCCCAGCCTATCACCTCAGAGACCTCCTCAAAAGGTATGATGTTCCAGGATGTTTGAAAGGAGAATAGCTTATGCAGTGTTTTCTTCTTTTTCTAGAAGATCGTATCCTCCAACTCTAAGACAGCATTCTAAATTCAGGTTACCTGTGGAATATGCTATTTTACAAGACCGGAATTGTCATCCTTGAAGGTTTGAAGAAGGGGTGGGGGTCCACTAGGGACAATAATGTAAATAGAATATTTGCCATTGCCATTCCCATGTATTATTCAAAAACATTACCATATCTTTGCCAACAATCAGTAAGTCAAACTACCAATGTTGATTAAATAAATTGCATTTTGGGCACACTCACAGTTAGCATTTTAATGTTCTATGTTGTCTGAGTATCCTTGCATGATTAGAGAGGAGGAAAGACAGCAAAATTATTTTTTCTGTTCTCAGATTTGCTTTTCTGAACATTTTCCAAATCGATTTTGTAGCTGGGATCTGAGCACATTTTAAAAACCGCTATTACCTTTTTAGGCCCAATTTCATACAGAAGTTAAAATGGCCTTGCGAAGAGACGTCTCTCCACTTTATTAATTTGCAATAATATACCACCTTGCTGTCTTCTAATTTGTAAAGAGCGAAGATGGGAGGGAGAGAGATGGCTGTTTAGCTGGCCAATTTGCAAACGATGCGGGAGGAGGGAGGGAGAGATGGCTGTTTAATGTCACCGAATGTTACCACTTTGCAATCAGATCTCACTCATTAGAGACCAAAATTATAAAGATCTATTCAGACCATTAATCAATGCTGCCACCATAACTTTCTTCTCAGCTATCCAAAGCTGCTTTAAAAATCTTCCAGGATAGAGTGACACTTGAGTCAGGATTTGTCGAATAATAATCAATAAAGTTTATTAATTAAAACAGGAACAAATATAGTTAAAATTCTTGACTGTTTCAGCAAGCTGTGTCTTAAAGCGTGATGGTTACATAAATTGTTCTGTCTTTGTTACATAAGAGACTTTCTTTTCTCCCTTTACACCAGAATACTGACCAGATAGTTTGTCTGTCAGTAAATCTTACAGCAGCATAGATAGTCTTAACTTAGATCTATCTTTCTACTTCTCACTATTCTCTCTACTGTTCACTTTGAACACTAAAACCTAACTCTTCACTCCTCTATACCTGACTTCTTACTCCAACCGACTCTAACTCTAACCCTGACACTAACTGACTGACTTCTAACTCTCCCTGACACTAACTGACTCTTTTCAAACGCAGGTAGATTTTTCCTTTCTAGGCTCCGCCCACTTCTCACTCTCTTTTGCTTGGTTTCCCCGGCAACGCCACAGTGGAGATAACTAGTTAACTCCAGCTTTTAGCCATTGCCACCCAGCAAACAGACAAACAGCTCAAATACATATAAAGCATTGATAACTTCCTTACAGGCCTACTTGCATTTTTGGGGCCAACCTAGTTCAGCTTGCCTGATAAAATCTTCACCTGCTTTGCAAATGGATTTTTTGGAAATAAGAACTGGGAAACACATTCTGTACTGTCTCAGAGGCTCAGCTCATTAAAAACAGTTCAGGGCAATCTGTCAGGAGAGCTTCAGAAAAGGACCCCAGTATCAGCTGACCCTTATTTATTTTATTTATTTTTAAACATATTCGGCCCTTCTCACTCTGGAAGAAATTGTAATATTGGAAGGAATTGTAATGTCCAGTAAAGTGGAAGGAAGTACAAAATCTATATAAATAAAAATGTAATGTTCGTTTGTGGAATTAACTCAAAAACCACTGAATGAACTGACACCAAATTTGGATACCATACACCTATCAGGCCAACAAGTGACCATCACTCATAAAAACACTGGAAAACACAGCAGAAGCGACTTAAAAAGCCACAAAACAAAAAAAATACATTACAACACATGCGCAAAGCCACACACACACACATATATAAAAATATATACCCACAAACACACATGTATGTATGTATGTATATACATATGTATATGTATGTATGTATATACACACGCGCACACACAAATGTATATACACACATATACACATAAAAAACACATATATACAGACTGGGCCACAGCAACGCATGGCAGGAGACAGCTAGTATATAATACATATGAATTTAAGTCAGCAAAGCCATTGCCATGAGGTTACAAGTTCTGAACAGAGCAGTTGAAGATCATGTCTCTTGGAAGTCGTTTCATTTATAAAATCACGCTCAGTCTAAGCCAAGTGGATGACATACTTAACAACTTTAAAGTTGATGGAGTCACTTTTAATTCATGAAGGCAATCTATTGTTGTTGAATCTGTGAATTTAGTTTGTGGCTTTGAAACTGTATTTGTTCTGATATGTTACTGTGACTGGATATGGAAAAAAATAATGAACAAAAAAGAGTGAAAGCGTTTTCTTATTCTCTTTCCTTCCCTTATTTTGTGAACTCTTGAAAATACTGTCTCACCTTGCAGGGCATAGAGCTGTGATATTCATTTTAGTTTTACTGTTTTCTATACTTCATTACCTTTAACATCACAGTAAATTAAAGGCTGTGTTTCCTTTCCAGCATGCTTCATAATGACCAAGAAAAAAGAGCTTCTGCTGCGATGGCCTTGTGCAGTCCTTTCTTCAGCATTCCTTTTGGTAAGTTATCCTGTATTTCACTAGTCCCAATCCAACTTCTGTTTAACGTACAATATTTTCAATCCCTTCTCTTCATCAGTGTGACCAAGCTAATTAAAAACAATTCAAAAACAAAACTTTGCCTTTGTAAGGGGCATTTCTATTGACTCTTCACCACCAGATTCATTTTAATTGGTTGCTTACTTCAACCGTTCATCCATTTCCAATGTGATCATGTTTTGAACCAAGGCAAGGGGATAGGGTGCTGAAGATAACTAGCATGATCTCTTTAGGTGAAAGAGATGGTGATTTGTATGTGATTTAAGAAATAGAACATTTATTACAATGAGAATAGACCTGGGTCAGTTCAAAAAACTGTCTTATCTGCAGGGGGCAGACAATATTTCTGTAGGCAAGAGAGAATGCCCCAACTGTTCTAGGGAGAACTGGGCAAAATTACAAAACAAGGACATAAACTTAAATAACCACCTGGGGAGTGGCCCATGGTCTTTGGTGTCTACCTACTAATGCATGGGAAATAAACAAGATGGATGCCAACTAATGCAACAAAGCAAATATGATAGAAGTGGTTTTAAAATTTTGTGTGTTATTGCCTGTATGTGAGTTATATTAACTGTATTGTTTTATTTGCTTACTGCTTTGTTGTTTTATTGATGTGTTGTTGGGCTTGGCCTCATATAAGCCGCCCCGAGTCCCCTTGGGGAGATGGTGGCGGGGTATAAATAAAGTTTTTTTAAATTATTACTATTATTATTATTATTATTATTATTATTATTATTATTATTATTAGCTGTGCCCAACACGCATTGCTGTGGCCAACCTTCCCTCTTTCTCTCCTTCTTTCCCTCCTTCCTTCACTCCCTCTTTCCTTCCTTCCTTCCCGTCTTTCCTTCTCTTCTTCCTTCCTTCTCTATCTCTTTCCTTCCTTCCCCCTTTTTCTTTCTCTTCTGCTGTCTCTCTTTTCTTCTCTCTTTCCTTCTTTCCTTCCCTCCCTCTTTCTCTACATCTCCCCCCTTCCTTCGCTCCCTCTTTCCTTCCTTCTTTCCCTTTTTTCTTTCCTTCTCTCCTTCCTCCCATCTCTACCTCTTTCCTTCCTTCTCTCTTTGCTTCCATGCTTCCTTCCTTCTTTCTTTCCCTCCCTCTTTCTTTTCTTTCTTTCTTTCTTTCTTTCTTTCTTTCTTTCTTTTTTTTCTCCCCTTCCCTTCCTCTTTCTTTCTTTTTTTCTGTATTGTCATTTAGCTTTTCGTCATTTAGCTTTTTAGGGTTTTTCTAAGTCTCTTCTGCTGTGTTTTTCGGTGTTTTTATGAGTGAAGGACATGCATTGGGTTGTTAGGTGTATTGTGTCCAAATTTGGTGTCAATTCCCACAGTGGTTTTTGAGTTCTGTTAATCCCACAAATGAACATTACATTTTTATTTATATAGATTATTATTATTATCCTCGAAATCTTCTGTGATGAGTCTTATAATTGGAATGCAGTAATAGAGAGTTATAACCTATTTCTGAAAAATAGACAAAACAGGAAAGGAGGAGGAAAGGAGGTGTATGGTATGTTAAGAATATTCACACCTATGAGAAGACCCATGACTTAAATTCTAGAAGCTATGTTGAGAGTATCTGATTAAGAATAGAGTGGGAATGATGCTATTATTGAGGTCTACTGCAGACCTCCAAGCCAGACTGAGGACTTGGATGATATCTTCGTAGAACAGATGACCACATAATCACAGGGAGATGTGTAATAGTGCAAGGAGATTTAAAATATCCTGATATTTGTTAGAAGCCAAACAGTCCTTGTGAAAGAGATTTAGGAATCTTAGTGGACCACAAGCTGACCATGGGTCAACAGTGTGATGTGGTAGCTAAAAAAAACAACAATGCAATTCTAGCTACATCAATAGAGCGTAATGCCTAAATCAAAGAAATTCATTGTCCCCTTCTTTTCTGCTTTGGTCAGATCTCATCTGGAATGCTGTGTCCATTTCTGGGCACCACAGTTTAAGAAGAAGGATATTGATAAACTGGAATGTGTCCAGAGGAGAGAAACCAAACCCTATGAGGTGCAGCTTAGGGAGCTGGGTATGCTTAGCTTGTATCAAAGAAGGTCAAGGGAGCACACAATAGCCATGTTTAAATATTTAAAAGGATGTCACATTGAGGAGGGGACAAACTTTTTTTCTGCAATGGATTCAAATAGCAGGAAAAGAGATTCCACCTAAACATTACAAAGAATTTTCTGACAGTAAGAGCTGCAGGATATGCTACTTTGGAACTTAGTAGAGTCTCCCGTATAGGTTTTTAAGCAGAGATTGGATGGCCATCTGTCAGGAATGCTTTGATTTTCCTGCATGACAGGTTAAACTGAACAGCTGATGTGGTCTTTTCCAGTTCTATGATTAACTCTTTGTACAAACATACTATTTATCAGTGATATATAATGATGACTTCTATCTTTAACCCTGCTATTTGAATAGCCCCCCACACTGAAGATCTGGTGATGCTTCCAAGTCCTGTGTTAAGGCTTCTGAATATTTTGAATGATGCTTCTTTTCAAAGTGAAGAAGAATTTGAAGGTCAGTACACTGTTTTCACATACCATGGTGGTTCTCAACCTGTGGGTACCCAGGTGTTTTGGCCTATAATTCCCAGAAATCCCTACCAGGTTACCAGCTGTTAGGATTTTTGGGAGTTGAAGGCCAATAATAATCATCATCATCATCTTTATTTATATACCGGTCCATCTCCCCGAGGAGACATCACAAAACATACAAAGTAAAAAACAACATAACCATAAAATTAACAAAACAAAATATAAGCATAAAAATTGTCGCCATAACACACATATATTAAAAGTAATCCTGTCTGTTCAAGGCAATTAAAAAATTTAAAAGGCCGGGCCAAGATTTGTGCAAGCCCAAAAATTCTAGCGGCCCCGGGAATTAAGTGCAATGCTATGGCAGGCAACAATAATATTAGGTACATGTCTGTGGCTGTTCATTCCGGGGCTGATTAGAGGAAAGAATCTGGGTAACTGGTAGGAAGAATAAGGCCGTATTCAACAATGTGTAGGGCTGAGTTAGAACTGGTCATTTTCAAAGGCTTGTTGAAACCATCAGGTCTTCAAGCTCTTACGAAATGGAGGAGAGGGATGGGGCCTGTCTTATTTCCCTTGGAAGGGCGTTCCGGAGGCAGAGGGCCACCACTGAGAAGGCCCCCTTCACCACTGAGAAGGCCAAAACATCTGGGGACCCACAGGTTGAGAACCACTGACATACCACATTCTGAAATGTATTGGGAAATGTACAGTCATCCCCTGCAAATGTGGAATGAGTACAAATATCCCCACAGGGGAAATAGTTGCTATGGTCCTTGCAAGGGAAGTGGGTGGGGTGTACTCCTGGTAGTGAGGAATCATGCAGGGTGAGGAAGGAAGGAACTGAGTGTTCCTTTCCCTCTAAATATGCCTGATTACTCAGTGCCCAGGGGGAGGGAGGCAGCAAGCAATGAGACAGGGAAAGAAATAATGGGGCATCATCATATAGGTGATGGTGAAATGTTAACAGAGGATGGAGGAAGGGCAAAGCTACTCAACACCCTCTTTGCCTCAGTCTTCTCTTCTGGGAATAATGGAACAGTAGAAACAATGCAGCACAAAATAGGTAAGAAGGCAGTACAGGAATATCTGGCTAGTCTAAATGTATTCAGCTCTCCAGGGCCAGTTGAGTTACATCCAAGGGTAGTAAAAGAACTGGCAAAAGTAATTTCAGAACCAGTAATTTCAGAAGCAATCATTTTTTAGAATTCCTGGAGAAAAGCAGAAATTCCAGCAGACTGGAGAAAGGCAAATGTCCCAATCTTTAAAAAAAAGGATAGAAAAGAGGACCCTTGTCAGCTTGACATCAATACTAGGAAAGATGCTGGAGCAGTTCATTAAACATACAATCTGTAAGCATTTAGAAATGAATGCCAGGCTTATGAAAAATCAACACGGGTCTCTCAAAAACAAGTCGAGTCAGACTAACCTTATCTCTTTTTTTTCTTTATTAAGCAAGCATTCCAAAAATGGAATTCCCGCATCCTCTGTACTCCTTGATATGTATGTTTTGAGTCCCCCCAGGGGTGAGAAAATGATATATAAATACTGTAAATCAATATATAACAAATATGTTGTCAGTTTTCTTTCTGTTCCCACAGATATCATCGATGACATAAAAGAAGAGTGTAGCAAGTATGGGCAGATTGTTTCCCTGTTTGTTCCTAAGGAAAGTCCAGGCAAAGGTCATGTAAGTACACATGCAATTGAGGGGTTTATTTTATTTCAATTTTAATACATGGCTCTGTTGACTAACTTTTCATTTCAGTGGAATAAATACACTCTGCTTTCGGAGACAACTTTATGTTCTGTTCTGACAATTGTTGCAGGTGATCCTTAAGTAGATTCATGCATTGGTTTTGAAAAGTATCATTTAAAATGCTTTGCATATGTACATGGGAGTTGCTTTCATTTACATGTTGTATTTGGTTGCAGCTTCCAGGTACAACGGAAATTGCAGGTAGACATGGTATGAATCATAGGCAGGGATCTTATGGCGTGATCGGAAAGCACAAGGAGCAGAAAGAAAGGAGAGCAACAGGAAAACAAAAGCAAATATATTTTATTGTACAACAGTCATTTTACGACTACTTGTCGTCTACCAATGAAAGGGCAACAAAGGAGGGCTAGTATAACTTCATTAGGAAGGGGGTAGCGAGTGACACAGAACACCCTCCCTCACATTATGATCCAATAGTACAGAACAATTGTTTTCTTACTTTCTTTTAACTGGGAATACATTGGGGCAAGAGAAGGGAAAATCAGCTATTTCAGCAGCCAAGGTTCTCCTTGGAAACATATCTAGGTTGTCTATATAGTGTCAGTATAATTTATTGTTGATATATATATATATAAATAAATATATTTCAAATACAATTGTATATTGCAACACATGATGCTTTGATCTTATATGTTAGCATAAAATGTATGAAATACATAATATAAAATATACTTTAAAGTGTGTGTGTATTGCTGTTTTTGTCAGAAGCCTATCAAATGAGTTGTTTGGGCATCATATCTTGAAACTAAACAATAATGCAGTGACATACAACCAAATTTCTAAATGTGCAATAATATTAGAGCAATATTAGAGCAACTGGGACTGTGGCACAGCTGGCTGGGAGTCAGCTGCATTAGATCATTACTGACCAAAAGGTCATGAGTTCAAAGCCAGCCCGGGTCGGAGTGAGCTTCCGACCATTGTGTAGCTTGCTGTCGACCTTTGCAGCCCGAAATATAGTTGCATCTGTCAAGTAGGAAATTTAGGTTAATTTAACTAATTTACAATGCCATAAAAATCTCCAGCAAGCATGCAAAGAATGGGGAAGTACTCCATCAGTGTCCCAAATGGACGGTGAAGTGACAGCTGCCCTGGTGGCCAGAATACCCTCATGAAGCTGAAATGCTAAATGGCCTCTGTGTGTCTGTCTATATATGTTGTGCATCTATGGTATTGAATGTTTGCCATATATATGTACATTGTCATCCGCCCTGAGTCCCCTGCGGGGTGAGATGAGTGGAATATAAACACTGTAAATAAATAAATAAATAAATAAATAAAACCAAAAGGGAACACAGACCAAACCAAGGTAATTAAAATCCAATGAAAAACCAACATGCTAAAATAAGGTACAAAGTAAGGACTTCAACTCAGTCATAAAATCCTTGATGTTATTTCCAATTTTAAAATTATTAATTGATTAGGGTACGATTTATAATCTCTCGACACCAGGAGCATCAATATGATAAGGAGGAGTTGTATGTGAATGCCAGTTTTACTGGAAAATCATAGAAACATAGCATCATAGAGTTGAATGGGGCCACAAGAGCCATCCAGTCCAACCCCCTGCCATGCAGGAAAACACAATGAAAGCACTCCCAACAGATGGCCATCCAGCCTCTGCTTAAGGACAGTCATTGTTTACTTAGGCGATCCCTCGTTGTTCGAGTAGGATAGTCCTCCAGGGTGGGTCCGTAGGTGACTGTGGAGCCCTATTCTTGATCTGCATCATCTCCCACAATGAGAGCATTGGTTTTCAGGTGGAAGGCAGTCCCGGTTGGGGTTGGCTTGACACGCCTTCCTCTTGGCACGTTTCTCTCTTTCGCCCTCCATTCGTGCCTCTTCAAATTCTACAGCACTGCTGGTCACAGCTGACCTCCAGCTGGAGCGCTCAAGGGCCAGGGCTTCCCAGTTCTCAGTGTCTATGACAGAGTTTTTAAGGTTGGCTTTGAGTCATTGTTTACTGCTCTTCGTCATTTGCTTACCATAAGTCTGAGATCTTCTTATCAAGGGATTTTAGTCTGGACCTGAATGGTTCAAGGTGGGAGTCTCCCTCACAAATCTTAGTGTCAGAAGGAAAGAGGTTGCAAGGGATGGTCTTCTGAAAACAGTGGTTTCTTCTGAAAGGGGTTGGTGAAGAATCAGAATGGGAGCTGAATTTTTACCATGTGTCTTCAATATATCTTGCTGTCGACTTACTTTGGTCTGTTGCCTGTTCTTTATAAAAATGCAGAAGAGATTAATGTCCTGCCTGTTTTTTCCAGGTTTTTGTAGAATATACAAATGCTGGTGATTCCAAAGCTGCTCAGCAGGCACTTTCTGGGAAGAGATTCGATGGCAAGTTTGTTGTGACTACATTTTACCCACTGAGTGCCTACAAGCGGGGATACCTTTACCAGACCGTGTTTTAGTCTCCAGTGGCTGCAGTCAGAAGAAGCGCATTTAGGCAAAGCAGCCTAATTTTGCTTGAGTGAGATGAGATTCATCTGTGCCTTGCAGGAAAGGCCCAAGTGTTTTTTATTTATTTATTTATTTTGCAGCATACAAAAGCTGCCTCCATCTGTTGCCTTTGGTTTATTGTGCTAATCAGAATAACATGATATGGATTTCTTAGATGTAAAGCCAAACAAAAGCTTAATGTGAAAAAAGAGAATGTATGACAGTGAATTCTGAACCACCATGCGCTGAAAGATTAGGGTGTGGGGGAAGTTATAGTCAACATCAGTAGAGCTCCTCATGGTGGCAGAGAAACAGTGGAATTTGCTTTGCCTGGTACAGAGAAGACCAAGACTACCAGTTGGATTTCTATAGTTTCACATGTGAAGACATGAATCAGTAGGGCTAGCTCTGCAATGTATTTTGACTGAATCATTAGCAATAGTATTACTCTCCCAGGTGAAAATTCAACTATGGGATTGTTGCCCTTTAAAAGCAGGATATCTTATGTCATGATGGACTTATTCAGATGCACATCCCTATGTCGCAGCAGAGCCTGGGTAGCAGCCCTTGATTCTAGTCATTCCCTTTTGCCCGTGGAGCCCTTGGAAACAAAGCTAGAAATAAGTGGATGCATCTTTCAGCTATGTGTGAGACTACGGTAGCAAACGAAAGCTTCACTCTCATATACTCAGTTAGAGAGATGCACTATTTTAAAGAAAATCTTGGTTTGGGCAAAGTTGTGATATTTGGAATTTGGATCAATTTCAACTTTTGGATTGTTGTAGGTTTTTTCGGGCTATATGGCCATGTTCTAGAGGCATTCTCTCCTGACATTTCGCCTGCATCTATGGCAAGCATCCTCAGAGATAGTGAGGTCTGTTGGAACTAGGAAATTGGGTTTATATATCTGTGGAATGACCAGGGTGAGACAAAGGACTCTTGTCTGTTGGAGCTAGGTGTGAATGTTTCAACTGACCTCCTTGATTAGCATTTGATGGCCTGGCAGTGCCTAGGGAAATCTTTTGTTGAGAGGTGATTAGATGTCCTTGATTGTTTCCTCTGTGTTGTTGTGCTGCTGTAACGTTTGAGTTTTTTAATACTGGTAGCCAGATTTTGTTCATTTTCATGGCTTCCTCCTTTCTGTTGAAATTGTCCACATGCTTGTGGGTTTCAGTGGTTTTTCTGTGTAGTCTGACATGGTGGTTGTTAGAGTGGTCCAGCATTTCTTTGTTCTCAAATAAACTGGGCTCTACAGGCCAATGGATACTCCACCTCAGATATCAGAAGAGCTGCAAGACCGAGAACAAGCCATGAGAGCCACGAGAGTCAAGACAAAGATTCACCCAGAGGAAAAGTGTTCTTGACATACATCAAGGGAAACACTGACCACATAGGGAAGCTGATGAGGAAACACAACATACAAACTATCTACAGACCCACCAAGAAAATCCAACAAATGCTATTCAGCAAAGGACAAGAGGGATCCTCTCGCTTCTGCAGGAGTCTACCGTATACCATGCAGCTGTGGACAAATCTACATAGGGACCACCAAACGCAGCATTGCCCAAACACGCATCAAGGAACATGAAAGGCACTGCAGACTACTTCAACCAGAGAAGTCAGCCATAGCAGAGCACCTGATGAACCAACCTGGACACAGCATATTATTTGAGAACACAGAAATGCTGGACCACTCTCACAACCACCATGTCAGACTACACAGAGAAGCCATTGAAATCCACAAGCGTGTGGACAATTTCAACAGAAAGGAGGAAACCATGAAAATGAACAAAATCTGGCTACCAGTATTTAAAAAACCCTAAAATTACAACAGCAAAACAACAGAGAGGAAACAATCTGGGACATCTAATCACCTCTCAACAAAAGATTTCCCCAGGCACTGCCAGGCCATCAAATGCTAATCAAGGTGGTCAGTTGAAACATTCACACCTAGCTCCAACAGACAAGAGTCCTTTGTCCCACCCTGGTCATTCCACAGATATATAAACCTTTTCCTAGTTCCAACAGACCTCACTACCTCTGAGGATGCTTGCCATAGATGCAGGCGAAACGTCAGGAGAGAATGCCTCTAGAACATGGCCATATAGCCCAAAAAACCTACAACAACCCAGTGATTCTGGCCATGAAAGCCTTTGACAATTTCAACTTTTGTTCAAAGGAAGAAAGTGCTCATAGCTAAATTATACATAACAGTAGAGCAGGAGTGGTAATGGAGAGGAGTGGATCTCCTTCCATGGATCTGATATTGCCTGTTGTGCTGACACCCCCTGAATTCATCATGAGGCATAGTATTTACAGTCAGTTATCTAGATATTTCTTTCTTTGCTTGTTTGTTTTGCCATATATGGTTTTATCTAGTGCCTATTGTGGGAAAGTGACATTCCTGTTTCTTGCTAGAGAAGCAAAAGACATTGCCACCAAGTACCTCAAGTCTTCTATGGGGATTTTGTGTTGTCTCTAAATATCTCCAAAGTTGTTCTAGTTTCAGTGACTATTGCTTTCCATCTTTATTTATAAGAGATGCAACTGGTCTTGCATTTGATAAAACAGATTTTATCTGTGACTTCTAGCCAGTCAGAATCTCAGGATACATTGGGTTTATTTTCATTATTGCTCAGAAAATCATTTTTCTTTTAGTGGTTAAGAGTCTCTTTAATGAATTTGTAGAAACTGTGGACTGCAACTTCCATCATCCCTCATTATTGACTGCTGGGGGGTGGGGGTTGCAGTCCTGCACATCTTGAAGGCCACAGTTGCACACTGCAGACTTTGCCCGGTGGATTCTTGCAAGAACTATAAGCATAGTGTCCCAGTTGAAGAGAAAACAAAAGACATTCCATTGACAGAAAACAGGAAACTAATGAGCATTTGTCAGGAAGCAAGGAAAGGCAGCCAGACACCATCAAAGGTATAGAGGAGGGTTGTTAGAAACAGACATATTGGTCAGGTAAAAAGGGCTCCATTCTGGTCCAGAGGCAGCATAGCTTTAGCCACATGCACATAATATATGCTCCCAGCCCTGTCAGAAGAAGACTCCAGGGTGGAGAAGGTGGTGGTCTGGCCATTGAAGGGGTTGGATTGTAGTTCTAAGTTGTAAAAATCATATAAAATTCAAGATGTAGAGCAGGGGTCCTCAAACTAAGGCCCGGGGGCCAAATACAGCCCTCCAAGGTCATTTACCCGGCCCTCACTCAGGGTCAATCTAAGTCTGAAACGACCTGAAAGCACACAACAACAATCCTATCTCATCAGCCAAAAGCAGGTCCACACTTCCCATTGAAATACTAATAAGTTTATATTTCTTAAAATTGTTCTTCATTTTAATTATTGTATTGTTTTTTGCACTACAAATAAGATGTGTGCAGTGTGCATAGGAATTCATTCATGTTTTTTTCAAATTATAATCTGGCCCATACTGCAGATACAATAATCATCATCATCATCATCATCATATTATTATTATTATTATTATTATTATTATTATTTAAAAATTAAAAAAATCTGGCCCTCCAACAGTTTGAGGGACTGTGACCTGGCCCTCTATTTTAAAAGTTTGAGGATCCCTGATGTAGAAGATATTGAATTTTGCACTGAACACCAAAATCCACATTAGTGTAATGTTGACAAACTTTTACAGTACACATAGCTCAAGTTTATCCTTGTCATAAAGCCTGACACCCATTCTGCCTTAATAGGCTTATTATTCAGATTTATCATTATTCCGATGTTTCTAATGTATGCTCACTCTGCTATATCTACTTAAATCATTCGATCAAATCATTCAGATACAACTTGTTTTCTCCTGTTGCCGTTCTTGCCATCTTGACTTTGCTCTTTGGATTAGTAAGAACATACTGCTGTGCAAGAAGCTACACCTGCATCTAAGACAGTGGTACTCAACCTGTGGGTCTCCAGGTGTTTCGGCCTACAACTCCCAGTAATCCCAGCCAATTTACCAGCTGTTAGGATTTCTGGGAGTTGAAGGCCAAAACATCTGGGGACCCATAGGTTAAGAACCACTGATCTAAGATATCACATAGGTTTTTTTAAAGAAGTTGTTGTGTTGTGCAGTATTAAAAAAAGTCCGATGGAAGGAAATATGGCAGCAATCTTCTAGACTAGTTGTGTAAACCTATTTCTTTGAATATAGTACAGAGTGAATTTCACTTTACTGCATTTGAAGAAATTGGTGTATACAATTTTTAAAGGCATTGCCACTTTTTCTTTTCTTCCCCTTTTGCCCCCCTTATCAAGAAATGAAGATCTTCATTGTAGTGTGGAAAGGCAGTAGGTTTGTCTGACAACCAATATAGCTTTGGACTTCCAAACAACAGTTCTAACTTGGATCCAATGTTGATTCCAGTGAGTTTTCCTGAATCTCCCCTAAGAAAAAAAATAGCATTACCCTGAATCTCCCCTAAGAAAAAAATAGCATTACCCATCTTACCTTATTTGACTGCTTCTGGTGGATGGAGTCAAGGTGGGATGGGAAACTGTTCTGTACTCAAATGCCTTCTGTTCAAACTGTTGTGCAGTAAATGTGAGGATGGGGAGCAGCTCTGCTTGAGAAAGAGGACAAAAGTGCAATTTTAAATAAAGAAATAAAAATATATTATTATTTTAAAGTGTCATTTGTTATTCAGGCCACCTTCACTACATATATGGTGGTGAGAATGGAGTCAGTGGTGCATTTGAACTAAATGGAGATATGTTCATCCCAAATCCTGGCTTGTGTCCTATTGCTGACATCCTTCCCCAAAAAACGCCCCCAAACAATACTTCATATTGTTCAAAGCACTTTACATACCTTGGATGTTCCAGTGTGCTTGGATGTTCCAAGGTGCATTTGAATAATGGTTTAGCTACTGATTAAATCTGCCTAGCCCTAATTTTCTGGTTAGATCTCCAGCACTTTATTCCCAGCCTCAGCCCTACAAAAAGAACAAAAGGGTCATCTAATCCAATGAGGCAACACAATTCAGAGGTGCAGCATGAATACACTTTGTTCTGTTATTCATGACATTCAAGATTTCACAACAGTGTTGCCATGAACGGCTTCACAGAGCAGAAATTAAAACAGTCTTGATACATCTTGATACATCTACCTTTGTGACCGTATCTCCCTCCATGAACCACCTAGGGCCCTCTGATCTGGGGAGACCCTTCTCTCGCCCCTGCCAGTCTCACAAGCTCACCTGGTAAGTACAAGGGAGAAAGCCTTTTCCGCTGTGGCTCCCTGACTCTGGAACTCACTGCCTGGAGAAATTAGGAAAGCCCCTTCCCTAGAATTTTTTTAAAAGAATCTTAAAACCTGGCTCTTCCGCTGCACCTTTGATGAATAAGTATATAACTGCAAATTATTGATCAGC